CCACCTGATTACCTGTATCTTTATATGGCAAGTAACAGGAAAATCCAATTCAAACCGCTTAAGTGACAAGAGGATTTCTAGACTCCATAGCTGGAGAGTTCAGGACTTCATGGTCAGTTGACCCAGCAGCCCAAGGATGTAACTGGGGATCTATCTTTGCTTTGCTCTGCACACGGTCAGCACCAGTCTATGGTTCCTTCCCCTGGGATCACAAGATGTTTGCCAATTAAGTCAAGTCGACGAGCTTCCTTGGTCTTGTCCAGTGCGGGAGAGCATTCAGGCCCAGCATTCCAATCTAGAGTTCTGGCATTCACCCTCGTTGGCGGGTTTAGATCACATACTCACTCGTGAACCAAAAACTATAGCCAGAGCAATGGAATGTGCTAATTAGTGTAAGTTAGTCAAGACCTACCTTTTAAGCTGGGGTAGGGGTCAGCTTCCCCAAAGTGCATGAGCTGCACAACAGGGAAGATGAGGGGTCAATTCTTGAGCAACCATCTAGATGCTTTTAGGAAGTGGGAAGCTGGGTAGAAAACAAATAAATGTCCACTACAACCACTACCCAATGCAGGAACCTGGGAAGACTTCAGTATTGCTTCCTCTCTCACCTCCCCATATCCAACTGGTCAATAAATTCTGCTGATTCTACCTTCTAATCATTCTTTTATCTGTCCAATTATCTTTGTTCAAACCCTCATCATTTCTCTCCATGCTCTTAAAATGCCTTCTGACTGGTTTTCTCTGCCTCTACTCTCTCCTTGCTCCGAATTTCCTTTGTGCTTCTCTCGTAGTGATCCTCCCAAAAGATCTGATCCTGTTACTCCCCTGCTTACAACCCAAATGGCTCCCCATTAGTTACAGAATAAATTCCGAACTCCTTGGTAAGTCATACGTGTCTCCCAAGTTTTCTGTATTAGTTTTCTGGGGCCACCATAACAAAATGCCACAGACCGGGTGCCTTGAACAACAGAAATTTTCTCACAGTTCTGGAGGCTGAAAGGCTAGGATTAAGGTGTTGGCAGGGTTGGTTTCTCCTGAAGTCTCTCTCTTTGGCTTCCAGATGGCCACCTTCTTGCTGTGTCCTCACATGGCCGTCCCTCTGTGCATGCACATCCCTGGTGTTTCTCTCTCTTTGTGCAAGGACACCAGTTGTATTGGATTAGGGCCCACCCTTATGAACTCTTTTAACCTTAATTACATTTTGAAAGGCCCTATTTCCAGATACAGTCACATTGGGGGTTAGGGTTTCAACATATGAATTTGGGGGGGACACAATCCAGTCCATAATAACCTGGTTTCCATCTTCATCCTCTGACACTTACACATTGTTACCCTATAATAGTTTCCCAAGATCAAAGATTGGCTCAAGATGTCTGACAGAACACAACCACACACACTCACCTTCCCACTTCCTGCCTCAAATCTCCTGAAACTACCCATTCTGTCTCTTTGTGGGTATTTCATATGTATACATGAAACTCATAAAAACACAGGAAAACAACGAAGAGTGCCACCCAAGACGAGAAGTACACAGGAATTCCTGTCAGATAGAAAGCAGATAGGATCAGATTCATAGAAAAACTGGAGCCAAGAAAAACAGTTTAAACACAGAACGGAAAAAACTACTACTAAGGAAAGTCGAGCAGTTCAGGGATGGTCTAAGCTCAGTCAACAGATACCTGGAGCAGGAGGAGGTGCTGGGGCAAGAGATGTAAGAGATTCGTGAGAACCAGGTCAGGGATCGCTTCCATAGCACAGAGAAAAGTGAGAGCATGTCAGAAAGATCAGCATGGCCCCTGCACAAGAATGAAGTGAATTTGTGAAGCGTTCCATATTTTTCATAGTATCACCCCACAGATTACATGCTAATCACAAAAAAGAAAACGTACTTTTGCAATGGAGAGACATGGTGGTCACTACCCTACAGAAGTGATCAAACCTAACACACTAATGGTGGGACAAGCTGGTATTATGTGCCTGTAGATATCGTACAGTATATGTGTGCTGAATCACCTATGAAGTGTTCTTCAAAATATGTAAATCCAATCAAGCCTCTAGACTTAACTTTACAGGAAATATGGGAGTGAGGGAGGGAGGTTTGAGAAAAAGTTGAATGACACCAGGAGGAAACAAGTGGACAAAATCAGTATGTGGAATGGCTGGCCCCATGGCCTAGTGGTTAAGTTTCACATGCTCTGCTTTGGCAGCCTGGGTTTGGATCCCGGGCACGGACCTACACCACTTGTCAGCCAGTGCTGTGGCAGTGACCCACATACAAAATAGAGGAAGATTGGGACAGGTGTTAGCTCAGGGCAGATCTTCCTCAAAATAAATAAATCAATAAATAAGAATGTGGAACATTCTACAAGGGCAGAGCTGGTAAAATATTGTCTCAGGGAATCCGGTGCATGACTCTAAGATATATGTTTATGACCCCAGAAAAACTTAAGATGGTGCTTCATAACCCTCTCAGGTATACAAAAAGGTCTCTAAGAATCTTAAGGGCATGCCTCATAGCTCCTCTCAGCTAGAGAGTAGTGCTTCTAATGTTCTTAAGGATGTGGTCCAACAGCAGTTTCACAGGGAACACAAGATTAAGAAAGGCGTATCTCCAAGAGTCTGATCCTGATGTCATAATGGGATGAGACTTTGGAGGAGTCTTGGAAAAGGGTGTGTGTATTTTGCATGTGAGAGAAAGGCAAATAATTTGTGGCCAGAGGGCGGACCATGGCAGTTTTTAAAACATAGCTTCAAATTCTTTGAATCTGGTGGGCTTTGTGACTACTTCAAACAGTAGAGCATGATAGAAGTGAAGCTATGTGACTTCTGAAGCTAGGTCACAAAATGTAGGGCAGCTTCTGTCCTATTCACCAAAACGTTCGTAGTCGGATCCATCAGCAATTATATAAGAAAACTTGATACCGAGCAATGAGCTCACTCTGCTCACTATGATCTGAGCCAATTAATCACAACGAATTAGGGATCGGAAAAGGAAGCTTTAATTTGATTAGCTGGCATAATTTGGAAGACAGCAGACTAATGTCTCAAAAAAACCATCTTCAAGAATTACAGAATCTTGAGGTAGTTATATAGGGCAAGTGGGCAGTAAGGAGGGGGCTTAGAAATGTCGGCCTTCAGGCATGATGGACTGCAGGGTCTTTCATTATTCTTTTCTTCTGTCAGTGATGATGAATATCCTGTAGGTGTGTTTCCCGCCTGTGGTCAGCCTGTTCCTGGAGAGAAACTCATGGAACAAAGTTTTAATTTATCATGCTATAGGGGAGTACATGTGTAAGCAGAGGCCATAAATCAGGAGAGCATGTGAATTTTTTTGGAGTAGGTGCAGAGCGGTGAGTAGTCACACAGAGGAGGGGCTGGGGCCATTTAGTGTAATAATATGGGCTCACTTCTGTTCACTTACAAACCGACTACTCTGAGGACCCCGTGCTGGAGAAGCTGCGTGGACATGCTCTGGTGGGCAGTCCCAGCTGTGCCCAGCCTTCCAGCTATTCCAACCAAAGTGCCAGACATGAGAGTGATGCCATCTTGAACCCTCCAGACCGGTCCATTTGCCAACTGAATACCACCAAGTGACTTTTGTCAATGTCATGTGAAACAGAATGATCACTTGACTGAGCCCTGCCTGAATTTGTGATCTACAAAATTGTGAGATATAATAAAAGTTGTTTTAAGCTATTAATGTTTTGGAGTATTTTAAAATTTCTTCATATAGACAACCAGAACAGAATTTGGCTCTTCAAAAAGTCAATGTCATAGGGAGGGGAAAAGATGGTGGGTCTGTTGAAAGGGCTATAGCAACCAAATGCAAAGAGTCAGCCTTGATTGACTTCTCGTTCAAAAAACTAGATTACAAATACTTTGGGGACAACTGGGGAGACTTAAACACAGACTAATTTTCTAACGTTTTTAGGAAATTATTGTTAATTTTGTTAGATATGATCATGGTATTGTGGTTATATAGAAAATGTATTTCTAGGAAATATGTGCTAGAGTAATTATGGATCAAGTGTCATGATTGCAACTTATTATACAATGGATCAGCAAAACAATCATACACACACATGCTTCGTGCACACACACGAAGCAAATAGCAAAAAATTAACAGTTGTTTGAATCTAGGTACTATGTATATGGCTGTTCATTATACAATTTTTTTAACTTTTCTATATGTGAAAATTTTGTAACAAAAAGCTGAGAAAAAAAAGATCAGAGAAAATTAGCTTATGAAAACATTCCCAACTTTATTAGTCATCAAGGAAATGCAAATTGAAACCAAAATGCAATACCACCCACCAGAATGGCTAAAATGAAAAGAACAGAAAAGTGTTGGCAAGGCTGTGAAGCAAGTGGAACTCCCTCACAGACCACTGGTGGAAGAGGAACATGGTACAACCACTTTGGAAAACCATTGGTAGTATCTACTAAAGCCAACATATGTCTACCCCATGACTTAGCAATTCAAAAGAAATCTATACACCTGTTCACCAAAAGATATGTACATGCACTATTGATCATAGCCTCAAACTGAAAACTGCCCAAATATAGATCAACAGGAGAATGAATAAATAAATATATATTCATCAGATGGAGTGTTATACATCAACAAGAATGAACAAACCACAACCACAAAGGGCAATGTGGATGAATCTCGCTAACTTGCTAAGTGAAAGAAGGCAGACACAAAAAAGTATGTGTTGTATGATTCCATTGATATAAGACTTTAATAAAGATAACAGAAATCTAAAATGATAGAAGTCAGGATAGCAATACCCTTGGAGGTGTAGTGACCAGAAGGGCACCCAAGACTCCTAGGTGTTGGTAATGTTCTCTTTCTTGATCTGGGTGCTGGTTACAAAGATTGTTAAATTTGAGCAATTTTCTAGATATATTTTCCATTTTAATGGAAGGAAGGAAGGAAGGGATGGAGGGAGGGGGAGAGAGAGGGAAAGAGAGAGAGAGAAAGAGAGAGAGAAAGAAAGGCAGGGAGGGAGGGAGGGAGAAAGGAAGGAAGAAAGGGAGGAAGGAAGGAAGGAAGAAAAAGAAAAAAGAGCCAGGCCAGCCATCCCTCTTATCCCACAAATATTGAACACTTAGCCGCTATGTCATTTGTCCCCAGGATAAAGCCTTGACTAGAGCTCTCTGAAGTAAGACTTCTGAAACTGAGACTAAGGAAGGTGCGAAGTGTTCCAAGGAAGTTACGACCCTGACTACCCCTCTCACTCAGAAGACAAGCTGCTGCCTATCACCCTCGCCTTTCCCCACATGATGGTCTGTGTGATTAGGAGCCCCAAGATTTACTTCTGAGCTGCAAAAATAGATGGATGGATGGATAGATAGACAGATAGATAGATAGATAGACAGACAGACAGATAGATAGATAGGTAGATATAGATAGATAGGTAGGTAGGTTGGAAGATAGGTAGGTAGGTAGGTAGTAGATAGGTAGGTAGGTAGATAGATAGGTAGGTAGGTAGGTAGGCAGATAGATAGATAGATAGATAGATAGATAGGTAGATAGATAGGTAGATGATAGAGAGAGAGAGAGAGAGAGAGAGAGAGAGAGATTCAATCCTGGCTCCTAATTATAAGTATGGACAGATAGCTAAGAATCACCAAGAGTTAGAAAAAAATGATAAAAAAAAAAGCACCCAACTCAACAAACAGAAAAATGAATACCCAAAGAAACGGAATTAATGAAGCAATCAGAAGACTTTAAAATAATTATAATAAATATTCCCAGAGAGAAGCAGCTGCTAAGGAAAAAAACACTCAGTTTTTGGAAATTAAAAATATTATTACCACACACACACAAAATTTAATAGGTAGGCTGTATAGCAGAATAGACTCAGGTGTTAATGAGCTGGAAGAAAAATTGAGAGATTCTTCCAGAGTGCTGCGTCAAGGTATAGAAGATGGAACCTATGAAAGAAAAGCTGAGACATGTAGGCTAGATCTAGAAGTATCAACACCCAACTAATAGGAATTCTAGAAAGAGATCAGAGAGAATGGAGAAGTAAGAAAATAAGTAATAAAAGAAAATTTCCCTTGACTGAAGAATTGAACCCTTAGATTAAAAGGTATCACTCAGCTCTAAGCAGGATAAACGATAAGATTATCAACACCCAGATTGTGAGCTGACAGTTTATAAACCTGAGGATAAAAAGAAAACCCTAAACATTTCCAGAGAGGACAAATAGGTTACTGACAAAGGAACTCTTTAGAATTGGACTGATATCCGACTTTTCACCAGGAACTGGATGTTAGAAGATAGAGCACTATGTTCAAAGTTCTGAGGGAAAATTATTCTGAATTTAGAATACTATACCTGGTCAAAATAGCACTCAAATGTGAGGCCAAAATACAGGTATATTCAGATAGTCCAGGACTCACAGATTTTGCTACCCATTGACTCTCTACGAATAATTGCCTAAGGATGTACTTTATCAAAAAGCATAATTAAAATGAACCCAAGAGGGGCCGGCCCCATGGTGTAGTGGTTAAGTGCGTGCCCTCTGCTGCTGGTGGCCTGGGTTCAGACCCCGGGCGCACACCGATGCACCGCTTGTCAGGCCATGCTGTGGTGGCATCCCATATAAAGTGGAGGAAGATGGGCACAGATGTTAGCCCAGGGCCAGTCTTCCTCAGCAACAAAAGAGGAGGATTGGCACGGATGTTAGCTCAGGGCTGATCTTCCTCAAAAGATAAATAAATAAATAAAATGAATCTAAGAAAGAGGAAGATCCAGGGTACAAATAATGAAGCCAAAACTATGAGTTATTCACCTTTCTATTCTAAGACCCAAAACAGTACTTGACACACACAATAAGCCCACAACAGCTGGAGAGATGGTCTCAAGTCCGGACTGTGCAGGACTGTGCTGGTATGCAAGGAGCTGGGGCTGAGATCTGTAGGCAAAGCGGAGACACTACGTTTTTAAGTCTACCTATTTTTTCCAGCCTTGATAGAATTTTTTGACTAGGAACCATGTCTTTTTTCATCTTTGATTCCCCAGTTCATGACAGGATAATTAGTAAATGTTCAATAAATGTTGGCTGAAATACTTAGAGTAGTCAAATCATAGAGACAGAAAATAAAATCATGATTCCCAAAGGCTAGGGGGAGGGGAAGAATGGGGATTTATTATTTAACGGGTGCAGAGTTTCAGTTTGAGAAGATGCAAAAGTTCTGGAGATGGATGGTGGTAATGGTTGCACAACAATGTGAATGTACTTAATGCCACTAAACTGTACTCTTAAAAATGGATAAATGGGGGGCCGGCCCTGTGGCATAGTGGTTAAGTTCACATGCTCCACTTTGGTGGCCCAGGGTTTGCAGGTTTGGATCTCAGGCGTGGACCTACACACCACTCATCAAGCCATGCTGTGGCAGCATCCCATATACAAAGTAGAGGAAGATTGGCATAGATGTTAGCTCAGGGACAATCTTCCTCACACACACACACACACACACACACACAGGTTAAAATGGTAAATTTTATGTTATATATCGTTTACTACAATTTGAAAAAAAAAATTTTAATGTTGGATGAATAGCATGGTAACCAGAATAATTGCCCCACAAAGATGTCCAAACCTTAATTCCTTGAACCTGGAAATATGTTATGTTACATGGAAAGGGAGAATTAAGGTTGCAGATGGAATTAAGTTTGCTAATCAGCTGACCTTGAGAGGGGGAGATTATGCTGGATTATTTGGGTTAGCCCAATGTAATCACATGAGTCTTTACAAGGGAAAGAGGGAGCCAAAAGATGGAGTCAGAGAGAGATTTGAAGATGCTGCATTGATGGCTTTGAAGATGGAGGAAGGGGTGATGAGTCAAAGAATGCAGAAGCTGGAAAAGGCAAGGAAATGGATTCTCCCCTAGAGCCTTCAGAAGTAACGAGGACTTGCTGACATCTTGATTTTAGCCCAGTGAGACCCATTTCGGGCTTCTGGCCTCCAGAACTGTTAGATAATAAATTTATGTAGTTGTAAGCTACTAATTTGGTGGTAATTTGTTACAGCAGTAATAGGAAATGAATACAAATAGCAATGACATGATTAGAAAAAATTTTAATGTATAACCACATTCAGTTTTTATTACTATGAACTATTTCAGGCACACCAAAAAGGCACAATTATCTGATTACTTATATATCCAGGCCTGCACAACACGGAAAGAGTAAGCAATTAACATGCAAATCTGATCATTTTCTCCTTAAAACCATCAGCGGTTCCTATAGCTTGCAGGAGAGAGCCCAAATCTTTGCTTCTTTCTGGGCTCCTGCTTGCAGCTTTGGCCTCATCCTCTGCCTGTCCCTCTGGAAATGCTGAATTTCTGGTATTCTCATTCCTGAAGTTCGCTCAGGCCTTAATGTCTTTTTCCATGCTGTTCCCTCTGCTTGGATTGCCTTTTCCTCCTCTCTTCACCTGGCTAGCCCCTACTTCTCAGCTCAGATGTTCTCTCTCTCCTCCACAAAGCCTTCCCTAACCTCCGGATTCAACTAAGTTCCTTTTTTTTTTTTTTTTTTTTGGTGAGGAAGATTGTCCCTGAGCTAACATCCATGCCGATCTTCCTCTATTTTGTATGTGGGATGCTGCCACAGCATGGCTTGATGAGCGGTGTGTAAGTCCGCAGCCAGATCTGAACCCATGAATCCCAGGCTGCTGAAGTATGCAAACTTAACCACTATGCCACCAAGCTGTCCCCTTAAGTTTCCTTTTTGTCTGTACTATAGTGATAACATCCACTCGAGACGGTTATACTAATACTTACTATTACAATGAAATTATTTAGACTCCCCAAGGGATCACAAGCTCCTTGAAGACAGTAGCTTTGTCTATTGGCTTATACCGGTATTTGGTGACTGTTTGCTAAAGCCTGAACTAAAGCTGCCCCGATATATAAGAAAGAAATGTGTAACAAGCCCTACATTGTTTTAAAAATACAGTCTGGAGAATCGGATTAAATAAAAAATAGTAACATTATCTACTTTGATATATGAAAAGATAATGTAGTACTCTTCTATTTTCAGAAAGTCACTTTTAGTTTCATAAATTTGATTTCATTTTAAGAAGAGTTTAAACTCTTCATCTTAAAATTCAGCAACTATAACAAAAAGATATCCTTTTTTCACCTATCAGATTGACAAATATTTAACAAATTTGAGAAGACACTACGTTGGATAAGACTGTAAATTGGTTCAATCTCTTTGGAGGGCAATTCAGCTATTATCAAAATATAGAGTGAACATATTTTTTGTTGCAGTAATTCTATTTCTAGAATTTTTTCTACAGTATCCTGCACGTGTGTGAAAAGATATGTACAAGGACATTTGTTGAAACATTGTTCCTAATAACAAAAGATTAGAATCAACTAAAGACCTATCAATAGGACACTGGTAGAATAAATTAAGGCAATTTTACTTTGAAACACTACAAAGCCATTAAAAAGAATGAGGTGGATCCATATTACTGATCTGATATGATATTCAAGTTATATTTTTTCTTCTTTAAAACTGTTGATGATTTTATTAATAAATATAATGATAATTGATAAAGACTGCAAGCCAAAGGTACACTTCTGAAAATATCAACTTTAAATTTTATTTATTCAGTACTAATTTTAGGTGATAAAGTAAAATTAGTGATGCAAGCCAAATGATACAGGAATCAAATTCAATGTGCATAATGCTGTTGACAGAATCAAAGGAATTAAATTCTTTGAAGAAAACCAATGATTATGATTCTTAAACATCTGTCACTGATGCTAAACAAATTGCAGACTCTCTTGATTTTGACACCAAACTTTTCCACCGTTCAAAAAATAACAAGGAAAAAGAAGATCTTCAACTAAAAATCTCATGATCAGAAAGTTATAGTCTTAAGGGAAAAAAATCCACTCCAATAAGGCAAGAAAAAGATATAAAAGACATACAGCTTGGAAAGGAAGAAGTAAAACTCTCCCTATTTGCTGAAAAAACACCAAATGC